GAATAGCTTCAAAGAACGAAGTTCGATCGTCACTGGTTACGCTGCTGACCACTATATGACAACGGAGACTACAAACGTACACTTTGTGGAACTTCACTAGCTGGAGCTGATTAGTGAAAATGAAGCAAGTCTATGCAACAGTCTTATGATCTCGCAGTTTTTTTCTTGGAGATTTGTCTCGCGAATCGAAAAAAAAAATCCGAAGTTGCATGGAAATACATGGGCTGCAGCGACTGATCGTTGACTACTAATCGGATCACATTCATAATTCCTGCACGACCTACGAGAAAGTCACACGTTCGGAAATTTGAAAGGCAGAACTATGCCGCGCACCACAATACAACGCGATGCAGAATGACAGGGCAGCTTTCGAAGTTATGATTACATCGGCTTCCAGAAGCCACCGTTAACCGCAACCACCACCAATAAGACAAGCTTGACAAACAGTTTCCTGATCTCACCTGGAATTACTTTTTTGGAACGGTACAAAATGACAGAACACTCCGAAAAGCACGAAAGCCAGAAAAGGTTGCTTAATAAATCATGCAGAGACGCCAGTTTGCTGATGGCGCCTAACAAATAAAGATACACAGTTTTAAATTTCCACATCAACAACATATGTAGATGTTCAGTCACGATGGATGAACTGCTTCAGATCCGAATCGATAATGAACTGTTGACCAATAGTTATGAGAAACCATTAATACCTGAAAGCCTCCGTTCGATGGATGCATTCACGCGACAAGATTAGTGTCTTGTAAGGAGATGATCTACTTTGAGATTTCCTTTGAAGAATTGAGAGCATATCGCTCTCCAGAGACTTCTTTATGTTCAACTGACCAAGTGTACAACTCACGAAAACCTTTCCCAATTTTACGCTACTAACAAACCATACGAGCCACCTCCAACGCTTCAACAGCATAAAACTCCATCCGCATTAACAAATTGAAGTAAATTCTTCCATAAGAAAGCGACTGTCTCTGTGAGGGAAATTGGTTGACTTCAGTCTCAAGATGATCTTGATCTCGACTGAGACTTTCTATTCTCTCCTCAACTAATTTAGATGCCTCCTGAAGGAGTTCAGCAAGCAAAAGATACAAGGTCGCAGGGGCCTTTCGTGAACAGCTGTATAGTGCTGTGTAATTTTTGCGAGCTGATTTCAAGTCTACATTCCAAAGCTGCGAAATATGGAAACAATGTTAGGAGCGTTTCCTCCGTGGTGTAAGGGATTTCGTCGAACATGCAAGCATGTCCGAACATACTGTTTGACGTGCCTAATGGCGCACGGTGAGCCCCACATATGTGGCGATAGAATTTGCATAGATCCTTTGTTCGGTTTTTTATAGAATATCTGCTCAAAGGATAGTTTACGATAAAAATTGTTCCTGAGATTTCCCACTATAATGAATCTGTGGCTCTCCAAGCATAGTACATGGACCGCTCTCTGGCCGAAAAACGGCCAAGAAGGGCGTAATAAGGCTCCGAAACCGGTTTGGCCGACCCTGACACTCAAAGTGGCGGGTTATGCCGGCCTTGTTATTACTGCACTATTCACATGACGAGAGGAGCATTACGCTTAAATGAGATACACTCGGACGGTCATCTCGTACAACCCTCCTTCCTTGATACTTTTTAATTTCTTACATTTCTTGGAAACCAACAATTTTCGTGCTTCCTTCGCCACTCTTGCACTATTCTGCATCGAGGCTTCCATTAATTCACCGAAAACCGACACCTCAAAATTATCGTGAAGTGTGTCTGCAGAGTAGATCTACGCCTTATAACGATTTATTTGCAGCCCTCACACCTTGCAACGGACAAGTTTTTTTCAAATGAATTCGTTTCTTTGTTCTAGCCTCGTTCGACCCTGTTCAATATGTATAATGAATTATTGCTGCACACGAAAGTTGTTGCAATGATTGATAAGCACTTCAAGATCGCATAAAATATCAGAACACATTCGATCAGAGCGAAACATTTTTCAGAGCGTGAACAGTGTGCGAAGAAGATTGATAAAAACCTCATTACGTGCGTACCTATCACCGCATCCGCCTAGTTGAAACGAGAAGTAGTATTGTGAAAGTTTGAAACTAATCGTATTGATAACATAGAACCTCTCGCATGATCTCTCGAATGAATATTGTGGTCACGGAACGAAATTTGCTGTTTACACATAAAAGGTGCAACTTTTTTCAGCCCACGAAAGAAAAAAGACGATGCTATTCTCACCCGTACTATGAAAACTATTCCTCACGGGTGAACCGCTTTTTACTAGAAATCGTTGTTCTAGACCCCAAAAAGCTTAAGGCTCGTCCTCAAGCTATGCTGGAGCTGTTGTCACCGCTACAATTAGACCATAGAGGATTAGTGCTTCGACTCCCACGGAATGATTGTAGTTTCTCGTAAATGGCATATCAATTTGCGTGAATAAAGTGCGCTAATAATTGCTTTCCCCCTGGAGAGCAAATAGTAGGACAAGTCTCTTGATCAGAGGGCTTTGCAATGATCCACTAACGACGTATTTTGCCGCAAAACGATGCTATCACACTGAGTATAGAACTAGAACTCTGCGACATTACTCCGTTCGAGCGAAAAGAACCTACTAATATCGATAAAATTCATAATTAGCAAAAATTTCAACTTCATTCAAGAAAAACCTCCTCGAAATTTGGAAAAGAGCAATGCAACACTTATTCAGCAAGGTTGCTTCTCATTTGTCTTGGGCTGAACGAGATTTGCAAGTTATTGGGAGTGTAGCTATTTTGCAAGCACTCAGTAGACTATGAGGTTTTACGGAAAGCGAAACAAGTTCACACATCGAGGATGCAAACACTTACACCACGATTGTGACCCCATTGCCCTGTAGCTTCGCAGTCACTTCACATCGGACACATTAACTCAGAGTATTTATATTAGGTTGATCAAAAAGTTTTGATAGGGAGTTTCAAAGCACCTGATTTTTTAATCAATATTCGACACCAATGATGTTCCGTGGGGTATTGGTAAAACTTTCTAGAACCTTCTCCGTAATGAGTATTACATAGGCGCGCTCCCTCCTTTAGTTTAAATCATGTCAATTTCACGGGATCATGTTTGATACATCATTTTCTATGAGTGGCGCCGCGGCACGGCAATCGTTCGCAACATTAACAGCGTATGGGGAGGGGGGGGGGGAACACCACTTCCATCGCTGCAGTCCACTGCTGGTTCGCTCGCGTCAGGGAAGGAGACACAGTCTTCGAAGACAAACCTCGGTCGGGACGCCCCTTCGACGAATCCGTCTTTCTCGATCCGGAAGTTAACACCCACAGTCTTGCGACGAGACTCGGGTATGCCCAATCAAAAGTTGTCGGTCACTTTCAGGTACTTGGTTACAGAAAAGTGCTGACTTGATGGATACAGCATGTCATGACTGCTAACATGCGGTACACCCGGGTATCCATCTGCCAGTCTCTCCTTCTCCGTCCACATCGAAAGGAGTTTCTGGAGGACCTAGTTACTAAAGGAAAAAGTTGGGTCTTCCACGACACTAACAAGCACCGCTCTCGCGAAAAGAACAGCCGCTGACGCAAGCCAAATCCGGCTTCCACCTGAAAAAGTTCCTTCTTGGCTGCTCATGGGATTCAAAAGAAATGCTGAACTACGAACTGCTCAAGTAAGACCACACCGTCACCGCTCCCTATTACACTGGTCAGCAGCAGAAAGTTGCGGAAGATGTCCGAGGAACTGCCTGGACCAACTCTTGCGCACCTTTCCTTTCCCTGACAACGCTAAGCCTCACATTGGTAAAGAGACCCGGGGAGAATTGGAAAAGCTAGGCCGGGACACGTACCACATCCGACCTAATCGCCTGATATTGCCTTCTCAGATTACCACTTGTTCCGAGCCTCAAGGCTTTCTTAGGAAAAACAATTCGTCAACAATTCGTCACCTTGAACAAGTGGTCAGTGAATTCTTGAACTCTCATTTTTCCCAGTTCTAGGAGGAGATTGCTGACCGTTAGGTGGAGAAATGTTATAACTAACGCTGGTTATTAGACTGTTTATTCTTGCATCGTTTGCTGAATTGTAAAATAAAGAAGAAGAATCTCCAACCTATCAAAACTTCTTGATCAACATCATATGTTCAACGGTGTCTAATGTGCCTCGGGGAAAACGCTTCTGTAGCTTTGTTCTCGGAATAATTCCGCTTATTTCTGGAAGAAGACCTCTGATCACGGTTGAAAACACGTAGCGACAGTACATTACTCATTGCCATGGCCCCTGTAACCTAGTATCCTTCCCTTTAAAACGAGCGCCGCGGGGCTGTATACGAGGTGACCACAACGATAAATTTGCCAGAGTATAATACCCTTACGTTTTCTTTCTGTTTCAGAAACAATGCAAACTGGGTATTAGTTTTTTACATTGCAGCCTTCGAGACCTGACAAAAGCTCTTTCCCGCTTCGTCAGCTTTCTTTGCGCATTCTTGGTTCCAAGCGTAGGTTTCCCTAAAGCTCCAGTATAGCCGTAGTAATTGTCAAACAGGGCGGTGGAACCAATGTTCGATGAAAGAGAAGCAGCTGTTTTAGGACGTAATACAAGCAGACTCTTCGAAGACCGAAGGCCTGCTGCTCACAGGATTTTATTACTTGTTGATAAATCCAAAATGTGAATTACGAAAGAAATTCGCGCAGGTGACCACAGCTTCACAAAAACGATTTCAATTAATACTTAGGAAAATAGTCAGAATAATCTGTCCATTCAAGAGTATAGATTTTTGTAAGGATGGTTACAATGGGATATTAGCAAGGGCGCTCTGTTTCGATTGGAACCCTCGCAATTGAAAATGGTGCCTAAATCTTCATTTTGCTGAACTATCATGAGGATCAGCAACGAGTATGGGACGTTACGCTTGATTTCACTATACGATTGATTCAAGGGCAATACCATCTAATCGGATCTGAAGTTCCACAGAAGAGGGTTTACAGTATTTCATACTACTATGTAATCTTTCACCCATTAGGCGAAAAAAAACTCACCAAAATCGTCTAGTAAAATATTCTCAGGCTTGAGATCGCGATATAATATTCTTTCCTTGTGCAAATGTTGAAGCCCTAGTGTAATTTCGGCCGCATAAAACTGAACGCGTCTTTCGTCGAAGCCTCCAGGCATCAAATTGTACAGATGAAATTTAAGATCACCTAGAACCAAAAGATTATCATCATTATCGGAGCCTCCCGCAACGACAGGTAGTGTTATGGTGTTGCTCCTCAAATTACCTCCATTCATCAGCGTCAATACAAGGCAAAGCGCATCTTTCGTTTCGTAGGCGTAAGCAAGACTCACCTAAATTACGCAAAATAATTCAATTGTACCAATTTCGACTGGGTTAATATACAAGACACAGAGAAGCTATTGGTAATTTCTCTATGATACACGTCACATTTTGCAGCAAACAAATTTACTCCAATTTCGCGTAGATAGTTACCGCAGTGCTGACCAAAAATCTTCCTGCTGTATTGCCATCGAAACAACAGAGATGGTGGCCGAAAGCTTCTGACCGGTTGATTTCCGTGCAAAAATAAATCAAAACCATCAACTTGGGCAGTTGCCCGTCTAGCAACTACAGTGCCGCGGAAAATTTGAGGCAGTAACGTAGTGTTTTGGAAGCAGTTGAAATGAGCCCTACTCCTTGAAAACTATTCGTTAATATCTTCGATAAGAAAAGCTCAATTACACAACCTTCAGAGATTCTCGCTACTCTAAGCTGACACTTGTAGCAGCAGAGGTGGTCTTGTATGAAATGAACGAGTTCAACGATCACTTTCGAAAGACCGAGAACAAGGTGGTAAGTCAAGGGACAACGTCGAATGAGCTGAGTTAGAGAGGTTACACAGAGTAGCTGTCGCACGATGCGGCTCGCCAGTCGTTTCTTTATTTGATAAAGGGCACCCCGAAAATTCTCAGAGTCAAGGGGAGACGCTTTCGTCTCACTGGTGTCACACCGACAATAAAGGAAACGGCAATTGCTCGGATATGCTTGGAGAGATGCAGTATAAGGGTTCTGCCTTCCCTTGGCCTATTGTGGCACGTGAGTCTCTTTCCATTCAAGTACCACCAATGAAGGCACAGAAGCATTTTTGTGGTATTTGTCCTAGAGATCGCCTGAGTACTCGATTATCGCTCCTCATTTATCTCACTGATCTTTGTTTCACCATGGAATTAAGAAGTACTGCATTGCACATAGACAGAAGACAAGGTCACCTTGCAAGAATCGATGGGCTACCACAGGAATTACAAGAACAGTTCTTGGCTATTGCGCGACGGATCAAGAATGCAACATCTGCAACTACACAAAAATTTTACCATCTCACCGTGAGGTTTCAGCACTAAAACAGGGACACGACTGTCTCTGAAGAAGGCTACTTTTCATCCTACGGTATACATGAATACGCTACGCACCAGCCCTTCTGAGATTTGTAATGATAGACCACACCGGAAGGAGAAGATGACTAAACATGGAAATGAGAGTCTGCTATTGGCGTTCCTGAACGTGAATTCCAAATCCAATTAGGGTCAAGGTATGATTTCCCTAGTGTATGCGATGTTTTGGGCTGGTAGCGGCAAGTAACGGTTTACCACACACGCAGGTCGAGTACCGACTCGATAATTGCCCAGACCAACCAAGCATTCCGTCTCTCCGGGGTCGGCCAACTGCTAACAGACTCCTCTGCGAGTACGAAAAGCTTGATTTAATAATTACCTCGCCGCCGCAAGTCACTGTATAGGCAGTATAAGCATTCAAAACGCCACTACGATTTCGAATGGTAGTCGACTGCGGGGTACATGGAAATAATACGGGACTGATTGATGTCGAAGAGCGACGTTAACCCTCCACTCTTTTTTATGTAATGTTTCAGATTTTTGAATGATTATCTCGTCGCTGTGCATCGACTGGACAAACCACCACCAAATAGGTAAAGATGGATTATCAAAAGCAGTGTTCCGAGCTGGTGCTTTTCAGCAGCTACCTTCGAAAGGAGCATCTCGACTTGGCCGCATCACTGATCATTGAGAGAGTATACTAGAGTCCCTCACTGCAAGGAAAGGACTAAGTAACGAGAAGCAAGAAAGTTGAAGGATGACGAGGAAGTAGATTTGTTATTTACAACACCGGTGTTGGTTAACGCATGCAAAATGCGCTTTCAGCTTCAACCAGGTACTGACTAACTAGCTAATTCTTACGGTAACCGTAGAAATTTTCACTCGGTTACTCAAATTTTTTATTACAGTGCAAGTTCATTCTCTGATATTCAAATTTCTTTCGACGAACATTGCCGGCTCCTATGATATTTACGCTTGTTCGGAAACTTGCCATCCGTTATCCTCCTTCATTGGAGAGGTCACAGAAGACTCCAGAATATAAAGTATAAATGGTGACCATAGTTAACGGGTTGGCGATCACATGATCGCGCCCTTCGCATCAAGCACGCAAACATTTCATGCCGAAGTGACGGAGCTGAAGTCATTATTTCGGAATGAACGAATGTGCGTCTACTGGAACGGTGCGTTGATCTCACACAATCCTAAAAGCAAAATTGCATTCACAAAGAGTAGCTTCCTTGAAGTCTGCCATCAGCCTTTGTAGACCGTCGTGTTGTCAACCTTAATTCAAATTTTAAGAGCCTTCATCTCAGGGCGCCAATCCTCACACGTATGTATTTGTTGTTGACCATTCATTATTATTCAGATAAAAAATCGCATTACACCGGTTTAACATAACATACGCTGTGCTCTGCGCAGCTTACTGGAGACAACGGGTGGTTCAGCTAGCCTGGCAGAGGCAGAGGCAGGTGATTTTCAGGTAGTTTCACGTGGCCGAACGATTGCAATAGGACTCACTCGTGTCCGGTAGCTAGCTACGCGTCATTTTAACTAAGTTCTTTGCTCTCTCATCGAGAAGCGAGAAGGAATACTGTATGCACGTGGAGCTGATGCTTTCATTCCTATATTCGTTTGTCTGAATCTATTTGACTAGATGTACCAAGTACTTGCGGTTCAAGAGGTGCCACTCACGAGCTGATTTCGGTCGGACTCACACCACATACACCGCACACACTCGTGCACACAAGGACACATAGATTAGCGTGTTATATATTCTAGCGGGAGAATTTATAAGCGAGGAGCTCAACGAACTAGTGCACCATTCAAGAGGAGTTTCTATTGCTGCTCTTTCCGATTAAGAGAGCCACAGTAGCGTGAATCAAATCTTCCTTATATTGTACTAACACAACGCGCTAAATGAGGTGTGTGTCGATGTGTTTGTGTGCGTGCCGATGTGTGTGTGTCGATGTGTTTGTGTGCGTGTCGATGTGTGTGAGTC